TGTGTGTGTGTGTGTGTGTGTGTGTGTGTGTGTGTGTGTGCGCGTGTGCGTGTGTGTGAAAGTGTGAGCCCACCTCCACCTTCATTAATCGACCCGAGGTGATTAGCCATATTGAACAGGGGAATTGGATTCAGCTTACCGTGTCTGCTTGTAATAAGCCCACCATAGCAAGAATCCAAACAATTTTGAATCATACAAAAAGTCGAAAGTAAAATATATTTTAGAGCAATTTCTACCCCAGCTGTGTAGTTTTTGGAAGGTTGCTTTGTGGCCTGTTGTTTAGCAAACACCTCACAATGTTGCTTTTTTGTCTCCATTCTAAATGTCGTGGGTTTTTTTTTTCTCTTCTAACAGCAGGCGACATTATGCTGATGAGCACGAGCCAATTAGCATTTCAGTCAAGCTGATTGGTGATATAGATTGGCCAGACTTTTATCAATAGTTAAAACAAAAGAGGACAGAGGGTGTTTTGAGTGGGCCAGATAAATTGAAGTTACTGTCAGGATGTGAATAGGCTTTAATAAGGAGACATTTTCTGCCTCTTTACAAGGCTCGATGTTTGCTTCAATGCTAATGTTTACACATTGTTCGATATATGTAGCACTAATTACAAAGCGGATAATAATGAGCGAGCGGCCCGGTGGGCGGTGGTTAGCGCGTCGACGTCACGGTGCAGAGGTATCGGGTTCAATTCCAGCTGCGGCCTCCTGGTGTGGAGTTTGCATGTTCTCCCCTGGCCTGTGTGGGTTTTCTCCGGGTACTCCGGTTTCGTCCCACATTCCAAAAACATGCATGACAGGTTGATGGAACACTCTAAATTGTCCCAAGGTGTGAGTGTGAGCGTGGATGGTTGTTCGTCACTGCGTGCCCTGCAATTGGCTGGCCACCGGTTCAGGGTGTCCCCCACCTACTGCCCTAGGACGGCTGGGATAGGCTCCAGCACCCGCCGCGACCCTTGTGAGGATTAGGCAGATCGGAAAATGGATGGATGGATAATAATGAGATCCTAAAAGCCCCATAACATTTCGATCTATATTTACTTCTTTGAAGCACCGAGAGTTTCGTGGGCCGGTATGACCAGCTGCATGTATAACCATTGAAAATGTTCATAAATGATTAAAAAAAAATGTTTTGGGTGAGGGATGACATTGGAAATGTTCAGCGTTTACATGAAATTTCTTTCAAGAAAAATAAAAATAAGAGCTATGCATCCACGTTTATGTTTGATGTTCACTTGGCCTGAACAAAGTCCTGTGTATTTCTGTGTGAGACAAATATGAAATCTCAATTTGTGGATAATATTTGTAAAAAAAAAAAAAAAGGAAAAAAAAAGTAGAAATTGGACATTTCAGGCCCCTTTTAGCCCCTTATGTCAGTGCCAGGATCACTACAATGAATCTATTTTGTATTTCTTCTACCATGTAAATAAAAAAAGAACGTAAAATTAGCAATGACTGGACACCCATATCCATGAAGCAAATTCTCAAAATGACCATCACCTTTTAACGCCACACGCCTCCAAAATTACATGGCAGAGGCAATGAAAAAAAAACTTTACAATTGGGCATCGCTCATCTGTCCAGGATACATGATTTAACTTTGAGCGTATTTATGCAAATTGCACGAGTTTGCTAAAGTTATATTGTTGGAATGTGGCCAAGATGATTGCTTGAATGAAAACGGTGTAACTTTTCTATTTATTTACACGTGTGGCTCGTTGAGATTTTTTTTTTGTGGTTCCTGTTACGATAGATGTCACACAATTTTGTTGTGAGTGGTGGAACTGGCGTTCGGGCTGTTTTACTTTCTTTTTTTTTTTTCACTTTCCACGGGCAGTAACTGAGTTGTGTTGGTGACCCCTAAAATCTTATCAAATACAACACTCTATCCACACTTACAAAAGAGGACATTAAGAAGATTTACTGTAAATATATTGAGCAAAACCGGTGAAAGTGCTCCAGGAGGATTACTTCAAAGAAAAAAAAACTTAGGTTGTAGTTTGGATTTGAAACAAATCTTTTATGACAGCAGCCCTGGCACTTTTTTGACGGACGACCAGCATGTCTATAAAAGTGTAAATACTCGCAAGAAGCAGTTAAGGGTGAATAGCAAGGCTGTAATCCAAACTCATTGTGAACACTGCATGCAAATGGGTGGTCAATTATTCCCTCAAAAAAGAAACATGATGAGAAAAACCATCACAAAATTGAGCAACCAGTTCGAGTTCGGTAATAATAATGTGCAGTGTGCTCAATCGCCCGTGAATAATCCGGCTTTAGGTCACCGGATGTCATTTATTTTCAAGCTGCTCATGTCCTCCATGGGAGAAAAGCAATCATTGAGAAAAATAAACTACTCGATAAGTGCAATGTAAGACATTTTCTTTTTATTCATGCTTGGTTCGACACTCTTTTTTATGAACTTCAACAGGACTTGGACATCAGCTCCCATAGCTCTTTCTGTGGATTGAAAGTTTTTTCAGGGAACGGGAGGGAATCGGCAATAGGTCGGAGGGCTCGGTGGTCTACAGACTCTGGTCAATTCGTGGAGCCCAGAGTTCCAAGCAAACACGGTGAAACTGTTTTTAGCTGTTATGCCGCACGATAGAATAAGCTGCCAAATAGAAGTGAATTCAATGTTTTTAAAGTCTTCTTTTAACGTGTTTAAATGGTGTCCGTGTACATTATTTTAATAATTTTGCTGTCGTGTTTGGAAATGCTTAAGGTGTGTGTCTTTGCTTGTGCGAAGCACATTGAGTTGCCTGGTGTATAAAATGTGCGATATAAATAAAGTTGCCCTGCTTTGCCCTTGCCTAATCGCAGCAGAGCTCCACCAGCACAGACAGTAATGGCCTTAATTAGCTAGTTTAGCTAGCAGTTAATCGGTCCATTAAAAACAAATTAATTGCTTTCAGGGAGCTCCCGGGAGGACCTGACAGTCGACGGGATATTTTAGCTCAATTCAATCAGCATCGTCGCTTATTTTCAGTGAGAACAAAAAAAAAGGAAAAAAATGCCACTCAGGGTACAGAAGAAAATAACCTGAATTCAATCAGAAGCTAGATTTCAGCTAGCAGTCATTTTTAAATTCCCTCCCTGAAGCCAGATGAGCGACTTTAAAAATGACACGGTTCAAAAATATTTGTTGCTTTTTGCCGGTGGTGCTCCTAAATATTTGGTCTCCAGCACCTCAGCGAAATTTTAAATCTCAAGCATCCATGCTGAAAAAGACACAAAAGTCCACCATTTTGGTCTGAGGCGACCATTTTGGAGTAAGTCTTAATTTCTAGAAGTACTTTCAAGGAGACCTTGTCCTCGAGACTTTTCTTCACTAGTAGTAATTACTACTACGTTGGTACCACGTACACAAGACAAACGGGTGATGCTAAATTGCAAAAAAATAAAAAATAAAATTATTAGATGTCTTCAGACGTTTCCACTTTGGCGGTGTCCTCATAGAAATATTAATAAGTCACGTTCACCAGTTGCATGTCACACTGATTGTCTTTGACTTTTGCTGAGCACACATTTTTACGGCTCAGTGGAGATAACCAGCTAATTGCGCGGACTTGACGGCAACGTCACAAAGTAGACGGAGATTTGAAGATGGAGGATTTTTGCTCAAATAGACGACGCTGCCGTGCTGATTTGTGTGTGTGTGTGTGTGTGTGTGTGTGTGTGTGTGTGTGTGTGTGTGTGTGTG